AGCAGCTGCAGAGGCAGCAGCAGCAGCAGCAGCAGTAGAAGGAGCAGGAGCAGCAGCAGCAGCAGATGAAGCAGCAGCAGCTAGAGATGCAGCAGAAACTATATCTTCGGGCTCTATTCCCATAGTAGACATCACGCAGTCTCCCCCCGCAGCCAAACCCTCAGCAGCAGCAGCAACAGCAGCAGCAGCAGCAGCAACAGCAACAGCAGCAGATGCTGAGACTGCTTCCCCAGCAGCTGCTCCCTCTCCTGGAGCAGCAGCGACGTATCTGGAGCGGACAGATGCAACAGCAGCAGCAGCAGCAGCATCCCCTGAGGCTATGGCTGGAGGTTCGTCACCAACTAGAAACACAAACAGCAACAGCAGCAGCAGCAACAGCAGCAGCAGCAGCAAGGAGGAGCAGTCAGCTGCGTTTTCTCCTGAGGTAGGCTCTCTGCTGGAAGCAGAGGCAGCAGGTGCTGTGGTTGCTGCAGCAGCAGAACCACCGGCACCCGAATTAGCAGCAGTTGCAGCAGCAGCAGCAACTGCTGCTGCTGCTGCTGCTGAGTGTGCTGCAGCGCCGGCTTCAGCTGCACTGGACGCAGCAGCAGAAGCAGCAGAAACACCATCAAGAGGAACAACAGCAGCAGCAGCAGCAGCAGCAGAACCTTCAGCAGCAGCAGCGACGGAAGAAGCAGCAGCTTCTGACTTCAAGGCATCCTGTGCTGCTGCTGGAGTTGATGATTTGCTGTTGCAGCCCTGTACGGTGTTGCAGCCTACGAAACAGCAGCAGCAGCAGCAGAAGCAGCAGCAGCAGAAGCAGCAGCAGCAGGGGTTGGAAGACCTTATATCTGCTGGCGAGTTTGCTGCGGAGACTTCTCCTGCAGCAGCAGTGCATGCAGAGGCAGCAGCAGAGGCAGCAGCAGCAGCAGCAGCAGGGATAGAAGGGGAAGCTGCAGCTGCAGCAGCAAAGCGGAGTGCTGCAGAAGCAGACGAAGCAGCAGCAGAGACAATCCACACAGCAACAGAAACAACAGCAGCAGCAACAGCAGCAGCAACAGCAGCAGTTGCAGCAGAAGAGTTTGATTTGCTAGACGAAGCAGCAGCAGCTGCAGGCTCACCCGCAGCAGCATCGCCGGCCTCAACGAGAACAGCAGTAACAGCAGCAGCAGCAGAAACACATCCGGCAGCAGTTGCTGCTGCTGCAGCCCCAGCAGAAGCGACAGCAGAAGAACGAAGAGCTGACCCTGGTGCAGCAAGAGACACGCCGCAGCAAAATATCACAGCAGCAGCAGCAGCAGCAGCAGAAGACACGAAGGCAACAAGGCCTGACGATCCTGTTGCTGCAGAACCTCAACAGGAGCAGCAGCAAAATCAGCAGCAGCAGCTGCGGCAGCAGCAGCAGCAGGAGCTTATAGAGAGTAGCGGCAGACTGCAGGAGGCATCAGTGCAGCAACAAAATCAGCAGCAGCAGCAGCAGCAGTCAACGGAACCGCAGCACCACCCGCAGAAGGCAGCAGACGTCCTGCTGCTGAAGAAGGAGCAGCAGCAGCACCAGCAGCTGCAGCAGCAGCAGCAGCAAGAGGGGACACTGCTGCAGGAGTTTGCTGCACCGCAGCAGCAGCAGGCTGTCCCGCCTCCTCCTCCTCCTGCGACTCCCCCACCTGCAGCAGCAGCAGCAACAGCAGCAGCAGCAGCAACAGCAGCAGCAGCAGCAGCAGAGAGTGACGAGAACAGCCTGAAGCAGCAGCCACTGGGGCTTCAAGGCACTGAGGCTCGGCTGCTGCAGCAGCTGCAGCAATCGCAGGAGAAGCTGCGACAGCAGCAAGACCAGCTGGAGTTGCAGCAGCAACAGCTGCAACAGCAGCAGCTGCTGCTGCAGCAGCGGGAGCAGCAGCTGCATCACAAATCGGAGCAGCTGTCTATACTCCTCGACCCGCAGAGAAACCCTGATGAAGAGCTGCAGCAGCTGCGCCAACAGGCAACATAAACCCTAACCTCTAAACCCTAAACCCTAAACCCTAAACCCTAAACCCTTAATAAGAAGGATACGCATTGGCAGCAGCTGCAGCACTTGCTCGTCTGTTGTGCTTTGTATCGGGTGCAGCATCCTTGTTAATAATTGCTGCTGCTGCTGCTGCTGCTGCTGCTGTTTTTGTCTCTTTGCTTCAGCTTCAGGAGCAGCAGCAGCAAAACGAGGGTCTGCTGCGCACAGTGGAGCTGCTGAACTCGTCGCTACGGGAGCAGCAACAGCAGCTGCAGCAGCAGCAGCAGCAGCAGCAACTGCTGCAGCAGGAGTATGCTGAGTTGCAGCAGGAAGGACAAGCTCTCTCGAGCAGACTTGGTGCAGCAGATGCAACTATCAAAAAACTGAGGGCTCAGTGCGATGTCAGTGCTGCTGCTGCTGCTGCTGCTGCTGCTGCTGCTGCTTCTGCTGTCGCTGTCTGTGCTGCTGCTGCTGTTGTCGCTGTATGTGCTGTTGCTGCTGCTGCTGCCGGTGCTGCTGTCGTTGATCTCCAAGCAGCTGCTGCTGCTGCAGCAGCAGCTGCTTGTGCTGCTGCTTGTGCTGCTGCTGCTTCTCTTATTGGCTATACTGCTGCTGCAGGGTTGCTGTTCCTTGGGTCTGCTGCCATTGTTGCTGCTGCTGCTGCTGCTGCATTGCTGCATTGCTGTTGTCTTTCCGATGTGCTCCACCGCTGTTTGGATTCAGTTTAGGGTTTAGGGTTTAGGGTTTAGGGTTTAGGGTTTGCTGCTGCGTTTAGGCCTACAAGGCACTAAAGGCTGCTCATGAACAGCTGACAGCCGAAGCAGCAGCGAAAGACAAAATGGTGTCGCAGCTAGAAGCAAAAGTACGCCTAAACCCTAAACCCTAAACCCTAAACCCTAGACCTCGAGCTTGAGTCTTAAGCATTGTGCGTTGTTGACGTTGTGGCGCTTGCGGTGTGCTGCTGTTGCTCTTGCTGCTGCTGCTACTTTTGCTGCTGCTGCTGTCTGTGCTGCTGCGGTTGCGGTGTTGCTGCAGGTACAGCGACTTACTGCTGCTGCTGCAGCGGCAGAGACGAGCCGAACAAATGCTGCAGCAGCAGCAGCAGCAGCAAAAGCAGAGATGGAGTGAGCGCTGCAGCCCCTCAGCAGTTTGAATGCATTTTTGCTGCTGCGGTCCTTCTTGCTGCTGGTGCTCAACGTGCTGCTGCTCCTGTTGCTGCTGCTGCTGGTGCTGCAGGAGACTGGAGAAGACTGCAGCAGCAAAGGAGACAGAAACTGTTGAAAGGCTGAAGGCAATCAACTGCCAGCTGACGCATCAACTCGCCGTGAGGGTTTAGGGTTTAGGGTTTAGGGTTTAGGGTTTAGGGTTTGCTCTTCTCGCGTGAGGGTCTGCTGTTCCTGCCATTGTGAGGAAAGAGTTTGATCTACGCCTAGGATGGGGAGCACAGGGTTTAGGGTTTAGGGTTTAGGGTTTAGGGTTTGGGGTTGAGGCGCTGCTGCGGGTTTAGGATGCGAAGGCCGCTACGGCGAGGCTAGAGAAGCAGCACTACGAACAGCAGCAGCAGCAGCAGCAGCAGCTGCAGCAGCTGCAGTCGGAGAACGATGAGTTGCACGTAAGCCAGTAATTGGGTTTAGGGTTTAGGGTTTAGGGTTTTTAGGGTTTAGGGATTAGGGTTTAGGGTTTAGGGTTTAGGGTTTAGGGTTTGGGTTTGCTCAGGCAATGCTGGCCGTAGGTTCAAAACCCTCGATAGACAAGATAGCAGCAGCAGAAAGAGACGCAGCTTCTGTGCGGCAGCAGCTGCATTTGCTGCAGCAGCAGATGCAGCAGCAGCAGCAGCAGCTGCAACAGCGCGAGGAACTGATGAAACAGCTGCAGCAGCAACGGGACGCCTTGGAGCAGCAGCAGCAGCAGCAGCAGCAGCAACCCTCACAGCTGCAGCAGCAACACGCAGCACAAATCAAGGCCCTACGAAACCAGCTTCAAGCTGCTCAGGTCTGTTTAGGGTTTAGGGTTTAGGGTTTAGACTTGAGGGTTTAAGGTTTACGATTTACCTGCAAAGACTTGAGGTTGAGGGTTTAGGGTTTAGGGTTTAGGGTTTGCATGTTGGCTGCACAGGAGGAGGCCGCAGCGGCTCAACGGCAACGGGATGCCCAGGCGCTGATAGTATCTAAACCCTAAACCCTAAACCCTCAGCCCGTATTAGAGGCTTCAAGCCTTATCGCAAACCCTAAACCCTAAACCCCAACCCCTACGCCATATGCACAGCATCTGCAGCAGGGAATAACCCGACCTCTACGTTGTTTAGGGTTTAGGGTTTAGGGTTTAGGGTTTAGATTTAGGGGTGCAGTGTTCGGTGTATATGGCTCAGGTAGAGAAGCTGCAGCAGCAGCAGCAGCTGCAACAGCAAAAGGCAGAGGAGCAGCAGCTTTTGCTGCAGCAGGAGCAGCAGGAAAAGCAGCAGCTGCAGCAGCAGCTGGAGGAATATCAGCAGCAAGAACAGCAGCAGCAGCAGCAGCAGCAACAGCAGCAGCAACAATCACTAGCTATTGCAGAGCCCTCTCAATCGGTGAGGAACGATACGCAGTTTCCCTTCGGCAAGAGCCTCATGGTTTAGGGTTTAGGGTTTAGGGTTTAGGGTTTAGGGTTTAGGGTTTTGCTGTGCAGGCGCATCTCGAGCAGCAGCAGCAGCAGCAGCAGACGAATGAAAGCCTCGTAGGGCGCGGCGTCCTCTCGCGATATCGTGCAGAGGCATTTCAAATCGCAGCTGGAGGTAGGAAACCCTAAACCCTAAACCCTAAACCCTAAACCCTTGGTGTTTCCCCCTCCATGAGGGTATGCCTCTCCTTCATGATTAAGGGTTCACCTTGCAGTGCGTACGAGATAGAGAGCAGCAGGGTTTTAGGGTTTAGGGTTTAGGGTTTGTACAGTGCAGCACGGGAGAGGGAGCAGCAGCCGGATCGACTAGGGTTTAGGGTTTAGGGTTTAGGGTTTAGGGTTTGTACGCTGCAGCACGGGAGAGGGAGCAGCAGCTGCTGCTGCTTGAAAGTGAGTTGCGCTTCGCCCGCCAGGAGAAGGAGGCCTTTAGTTCAGAGTGTTTGGCTTTAGCTTCTACTGTTGAAGCCCTCAGGTAAACCCTAAACCCTAAACCCTAAACCCTAGGCCGCAGAGGGCAGCTGTTCAAACTGGAATGCGCCTCCGATTTATAATAAATCGGCAAACAGCAGAAGCAGAAGCAGCAGCAGCAGCAGCAGCAAGAGCAGCAGCAGCAGCATTTGAGGATTAGGGTTTATAGTGATGCTTCAGATTGGGGTTTAGGGTTTAAGGCTATGGTGGTTATTAGGGTTTAGGGTTTGAGCTAGGGTTTAGGGTTTTGGGCTTGCAGGCGGAAAGTGCATCAACTGGAGGAGCAGCAAAAACAAGAGGCAGCAAATGCGCAGTACATCTCATTCCTATCTGCTGCTGTTGTTGCTGCTGCTGTTGCTGCTGCTGCTGTTGCTGCCGCTGTTGCTGCTGCTGCTGTTGCTGCATTTGCTGCTATTGCTGCTGTTGCCGCACATATGTGTCGCTGTAGGCTTCTATCTCCTTCCCAGTGAGGTGGGGGGTTGAGTGGGTTGTTCTAGGGTTTAGGGTTTAGGGTTTAGGGTTTGCGGGTGTAGGCTCGTTGCTGCTGCTGAAGCACTAGCTGAGATGGAGCAGCAGCTAGAGCAAGCAACAAAGGAGACGAAGGAGTTGAGGGAGGAGAGAGAAGTTTTATTAAAAAGAATAAAAGAAATGCAGCAAAACCCTTAACCCTAAACCCTAAACCCTAATCGTAGACAGTTCTCCATATCCAAGCATACACCCCACAGCTCCCTATACACCCGAAAGAGACAGACTACAGCAGCAAAAAATATTCGTTTGCATGCACTGAGGTGTATATACACCTGAGGTGTATATACACCTCACGTTATGCTGTTTGCAATTCAAAACCCTTGGAAGACTTCCCCTCAATATTTGCCTCTACGGCGGGGGTTAGGGTTTAAGAGGGTTTAGGGTTTAGGGTTTAGGGTTTAGGGTTTGGCTGCTGCATGCATTTCGCTTGTCCGCTGAACACAAGGATCAGGGGTATATCTATGTGGGTTCATTAGGGTTTATTAGGGTTTGCAGGGGTTTATTAGGGTATAGTAAGGCATTCTAGGGTTTAGGGTTTAGGGTTTAGCGGCGCCGCTGTCTTCTATCAGGCCACAAGGCCTGCAGCACTTCACTCATAGAGTTTGTCTCCTCCATGCGCACCAAAGGCGAAGGAAAAGACAGCTGATATTCATTCTGAACGCAAACCCTAAACCCTAAACCCTAAACCCTAGCGGGACGAGAGCAGCCCTAAACCAAACCCTAAAGATCTCCTGGAGGTGTAAACCCTAAACAAACCCTAAACCCTAAACCCTAAACTCCAGCACCAACTGCTATGCCACTTCTTTTCCTGCTGCTAAATGCAAGGACCTAGTTCTTAGCGTCTTAGGGCTTAGGGTTTAAAGGCCTAGGGTTTAGGGTTTAGAGGCTAACGCAGGGATTAGGGTTTAGGGTTTAGGGTTTGAAGGTTACTTTGTTTGTCTTCGACGGCTTCAATCCAATAAGAGAGGCGCAGGCCTGAAAGCTGCAGGCAAAGTGCAGCAAAACACAACAACCCCACCTGCTGCTGCTGCTACTGCTGCTGCTGTTGGTGCTGCTGCTGCTTCTGTTGTTGCTGCTTCTGCTGGATCTGGTGCTGTAAGCGGGACGCAGAGAGCCGCAGTCAAACCCTAAATTAGGGTTTAGGGTTTAGGGTTTACTTAGCAGTTTTCTTGTTCTCGAATTCATCCTCGAGCAGCAAAGTGAAGTCAAATTTTAAGTCCGAAGACAACGCGCAGCAAACCCAAGCTATGGTCGCTAATACCCTGCACACAAACCCTAAACCCTAAACCCTAAACCCTAAACCCTAACTGCAGCAAGGCAGCCTGTCGTGTGCTGATGGAGTCACAGACACGGAGGCCTGGCTGAATTTCTCTTGCGGAGCGCTAAACCCTAAACCCTAAACCCTAAACCATAGAACCCAAACCCTAAACCCTGAACGCCAAACCCTAACCCCCAAACCCTAAACCCTAAACCCTAAACCCTTACTTTGTTTGCAATTCTTTAGGCATTGCATATCTTCCGTTTGCTGCCTTCTGAAGAAACTCAGATTGAAGCCACGCTGCAACAGCACTCCCAGGGCCTTCTCCTCGAACGCGCAGCTGTCTTGCGAGCTGCACAAACCCCAAACCCTAAACCCTAAACCCTAAACCCTAAACCCTAATGCATCAACCCTTATGGTGTCCTCTGCTGCGCAGAAAAACACCCGATAATCATCACCATGCCTTATACAGCTGCTATCTCAACCCTAAACCCTAAACCCTAAACCCTCAAACCCCAAACCCTAAACCCTTAAACCCTAAACCCTAAACCCTAAACCCCGAGAGTAGAAGGGTGAGTCCGTACATCGATTTGGTTTGCAAAGGAGTGCTTTTGTTTATGAAGGAGCAGACAAAGAAACTTAAGAATCTTCAACAGCCTAGCTAGCTGCTGCAGCGAGAGCTGCTTGCTGAGATGTCTGTCTCCGCCTACATTGCGCTGCAGCGCGACATAGTTTGCTGCTGCAACGATGAATTGACCCCACTGAGCTGCTTGCTGCTGCTGCTGCTCCTGCTGCTGCTGCTCCTGCTGCAGCAGCTGCAGCAAAGGAGCAGCAGCAGTGCCCGTCTCAGCTGAACCATCATTCAGCAGCAGCAGCGGGACGCAGTCCTCCAAACAAAATAAATCTTCAGCACATGCTGCTGCAGCATTATATCGAGGAAGCATCCGCTGCAGCATTTGCTGCTGCTCTGCTGCTGTGCCTAACGGGCCAGCAGCAGCAGCAGCAGCAGCAGCAGCATCACCATCTGCTGATCCTGCTGCAGCAGCATCTTTGCAGTCCGTCAGCTGCTTCAGTAATGCAGCAGAAGACAAACCCGCGCTCGGGTCGCGGTTACCCTAAACACACAAACCCTAAACCCTAAACCCTAAACCCTAAACCCTAAACCCTAAACCCTGAAGTGCACAGAACTGTCTTGTTGGCAGCATTTAGGGGTTTCCTAGTAAAGTGCGCACGAGGGTTTAGGGTTTAGGGTTTACGCGGCAGGGTGTGTACATCAGGGTTTTAGGGTTTAGGGTTTAGGGTTTAGGGTTTACTCCTCCTGCGATGAGGTTGGTCTTGCTCTTTGCTTTCTGCTCGTTTTGCTGCTGTGCAGCAAAGACATTCCGGACTGTTAAGTAGCAGCTCCTGAGCGCGTAAACCCTAAACCCTAAACCCTAAACCCTAGACCCTAACCCCTAAACCCTCGACAGGACGCTGCAAACGCTTCACAGAGAAGCTGCACCGCAGCCGCATGCAAGCGCTCTTCAGGCTAAATGCACTGAGGGTTTAGAGTTTAGGGTTTAGGGTTTAGGGTTTGTCTCACGATAAAAGCGGAGACACCTTCGTGCAGTAAGCATGAAGAAGCTCAGGAAGAATTGTCTCCTCAAAGCTGCAAATAAATAGGAGACACAAACCCTAAACCCTAAACCCTAAACCCTAAACCCTAGACCTTAGGGTGTGCACCCTTTTGCACCCGAGGTAAACCCACCAAAGAAACTCTAAACCCTAAACCCTAAACCCTAAACCCTAAACCCTCGACTTTGGACCCAAACCCCCAAACCCTAAACGCCACCCCTAAACTCTAAACCCTAAACCCTAAACCCTAAACCCTGCTGACGTTTGTTCATTGCAGATTCCTTCTTGTAGCGAGATAGCCGCTGCTTCTGCTGCTGCTGCTGCTGCATGCATTTTCCGCAGCAGCGCAGCAGAGATTCCGTGAGCAGCAGCAGCAGAAGCAGCAGCAGCAGAAGGATTTGTAGCAGCAGCAGCACTACAAGAGCGCATCCCTGCCTTAAGAAGAAATTCTTGTAACTCTTCTCGAGATCTAATTGGCTTTGCTGCTGAGCGAGCGAGGTGCCGATACACCTCAAGCAGCCCTTCTGTTGCTGCTGCAGCACGAGCAGCATATGGTGCTGCAACCCACGACCCCGTCTGCTGCAGTTGCAAACGAGCCTGCAGCAGCAGCAGCAGCAACAGCAACAACAGCAGCAGCAGCAGCAGCAAGATGTCACGCGACCGGAGTAGCAAGCCAACAGGAGGATTCTATGGGCTCACGGACCCTAAACCCTAAACCCTAAACCCTAAACCCTAAACCTGAAATACTAAACCCTAGACCCTAAACCCTAAACCCTAAACCCTCGAGGCTAACTTGATTGGTGTGTTTGAGTTCTTGCGGAGACAGCTGGCAGCCTGCTTCGAGCAGACAGCGCAAAGCTAAAGAACGATGAAAGAGAGAGGCTCTTAGGTTGTCTCCGCCTCGCTTCACTTCTTGTCGCTGAGCTTCAAACTGCAGCAGAGACAAACCCTAAACCCTAAACCCTAAACCCTAAACCCTAAACCCTAAATCAGAAGCTATCATACAATAGAAGCAACACGAAACACCCTAAACCCTAAACCCTAAGCCCATACACTGACTGCCTGCCGCCATGTAACCGCACACAAATAGCACGCTCCAAACCCTAAACCCTAAACCCTAAACCCTAAACCCTAAACCCTCACGAAGTCTTTGGTTCGCTGCTCGGGTGTCTCCTGAAGAAAAAAGGAGAGACGCCCGCAAGGAGCAATGCTCAGAGTGTTTGTTTTCTCTTCAATTATTACGCAGTACTCCCGCCTGAAACCACAAACCCTAAACCCTAAACCCTAAACCCTAAACCCTAAACCCTAAACCCTAAACCCTAGGGAGACGAGTAAGATAGAAGAAACAACCGCAATTCGCGCCCCCAACAGCAGCAAAACTAATAGCAGATAACAGCCTAACACAAACACCCCCAGCAGCAGCAGCAGCAGCAATATCAATACGAGCAGCAGCAACAACAACAGCAGCAAGCAACAACAGCAACAACAACAGCACCAACAACAACAGTGGC